GATGGGTGATTTCTCCTAAAAGTTGAATATCCATTAAACAACCACAATTAGCACAAATTAGCAAACTCTCAAACATGCAGTAGAGTCTTGTGTTTCTTTTTCTCTGCACTTGATCCATTTACTGTTGCATATTATCAGAAGAAATACATACAGTGTGAAATAATTTTTAGCTGGGAAGCTGATAGGTGGAATATATAGGTCACCAATTTTCAGCAAGGTGTTGCATAATTTAGAATACTAATCTGGATTTAATAGTTGTTTCTTCTGAAGGACGCCTCTTTAATTTTTCTTTCTTTTTTTTTTTTACTTACAGATCTTCTGGCTAATCCCACCCACTCCACAGAATTTAGAATTATATGAAAACTGGCTACTATCAGGGAAACAAGGAGACATCTTCCTTGGTGATAGGGTATCAGATTGTCAGCGTATTGAACTAAAGCAAGGCTATACCTTTGTCATTCCCTCAGGTATATATAAACAGTGTTGCAAAGATAAAACACAGCCACTAAGAAACAGTTCTAAACAGCAGATTCTCAGCATCTTATTTTTAATTGCTAAAAAAGTACATGTCTGTTGAAGTAGTAGAATAATACAGTACTTCTTATGCTTTGATTAAGCCTGGGATATGCTTAAACTTGAACGGACAATTTTTGGATTTAACTACAACCCATCTTCTTTGCTTTAGCAGTCTCCAGGTTCACTTTGCTAAAATTCAGTGAAGCCCCAATTTTTGGCAGCATGACCTTTGACATTTATCTTTTTGGATTTTCTGAGAGGTTGGAAATAAAATTAAGTTTAAAATAGCCTCATAAGTCTCTGGTAATATCTCTCTGGTAACGTAAGCCCTTTATCCCCTTTGCTTCAGAGGTCTAAAAATGATTCTGACCTAAACAGTATCTACCCATTTAGGTCAACAGGGCAATCTGCATTGTTGGCAAATCTTGTAGAAAATAATGAGGGAAGGGCAATAGGCATTTATTCTAAGAAACCAGAAAATACTCCCCTTCCTCCAATTTCAAGTGAAAAATGTCATTGCATCTTTATAAACTGCATGACATATGTTGCTTAAGCCAGGTTGGATCTTGTACCTTTCTGCAATACTAGGATAAATTGGAATTAAGAATACTTTTTTTTCTGAGATTTGGTTCAATAAATACAATTCTTGGAAGTGTAAACATATTGTAAATCACAACTTTAAAAATACAAGATTTTCAGCTATAGAGACTCAGATTATCTAAATATGAGCTTTGGTCCTTAGGTTGGATCCATGCTGTGTATACTCCTATGGATACCCTAGTTTTTGGAGGAAACTTTCTACACAGTTTCAATATCCCTATGCAGTTACGAATTTATAGTATTGAAGACCGTACACGGGTAAGAGGTTTTGAGAAGCATTTTTCAAAATTGTATACACATTACACATTATAGAATATTACTATCCCTATTAAAGTTCAATTTTTCAATCACAAAAGCACTAGGTAAACCAGTAAACCTTAAATTTCAAGGGATAGGACTTATTTCTCTGACTTAATCAGAGAAGCAGCAGTATAGATGTCTACAGGTGAAACTCGAAAAATTAGAATNCCCCCCCCCAGTTAGCATGACCTCCTCCTTTCTGTCATTTAAGAAATTAGTTAAGGCTTTCTATTCCATTTGGCTTTTGGAAAAAAACTGGTAAAAATCGTGGTTCCCCTGTATAATCTCTTAGCAATTATTCTTTGTATTATTAGTATGTTTTAATTTTACTGCATATTTCTGGGATTTTTAATGTGTTTTATGTCTTAGCGTTTGTTGATTTTATAGGGTAGGCGATAGTATGATATATGGAATCTTGTTCGCTAAGTTTGGTTGTTTGCTTGCAGATGTTTTATTATCTGACTAGGTAACATCATCGGTGCTAGGGAGTGTAGTGTTTGCTCCCTGTTTATATGCAAGAGATTTTTTATTTATTTAAAAGATTTATATGGGCATCCATCCTGGGTGACTTACAACAACCATAAAACCAGTAAATAATCATAAACAGAAAACAATATCCTGTGCCATAGTCATCCCCATTGGGATGCCCCACAGCAGGATCAACTACCCTGCTTCCATGCCTTCTACCCATACAATCTCAGCACCTAAGTGAAAAGCCAAGTCTTAGCAGCCTTCCAAATAGCTTGAAGGGTGGAGACCTGGCAATCCCCCATGGGACAGTGTTCCAGAAGGTAGGGCAACCATGGAAAAGTCATGCTTCCAAGTCCTGCTAGATGACAAAATTTTAAGGAGGGGACTTGGAACATGCTCACTCTCTGATCTTGTGGGATGGGTGGATAGTCTTAGGCAGTCCCACAGGTAACCAGATCCCATTCCATATAGGGTGTTAAAGATGATAACCAGCACCATGAATTGCATCCAGAAGAAAACTGGGAGCACACTAAAAAAGTATTTCTAGGCATTACTGTAAATATAATTCTTAAAACAACAAAAAACCCTCACTGTTTAAAGAACAATATATTGTCCCTAGAGGAAATTATTAATGTTAAAATAAAACCTATGCTAAGTTCTAACTGAAAACTTGCAGTATGTGTGGCATTAATTAGATTTATGTGCATGAGAAATCAATCTGTACTTAAATATAAGCAATCATTCTCCAATGTTGGTGGAGATAGCATCCACGCGTGGGTTACACTCATCTACTATCCAATAGGACTGAGTCTGCAATCTTAAAGTCCTGCCTCCTCTTGTAGCTCCACCCAGCTTTGTGACTCAGTCTATTGAAGTGACTGGACATGAGCTACAATCCCTGATAAAATTTCACCATTACAAAATTGACCAATATGCATCGACCAAGGTGGCGTTTGGCAGGTGGGTGTTACAACAGGTTGCAACAAGTCGGCAAACTCCAGCTCGGACGTTGACCTACCCATAATCAGGAGACAGCTTTGGTATGTCCCATGCATGGATGCTATCTCTACCAACATTGGAGAATGGGCATTAGTTGAGACGCCCATTCTCTGGGAAAGTGAAGATAGCATCCAGCCCCGCCCTGTACATTTTCTGGTCCGATGCCAGTGGGGAGAGATTGTTTCATGAGACACACATCACTCTGCGACATCACCTTCATCAAAGCTGGATGGAGCTACAAGAGGAGGCAGGACTTTAAAATTGCATACTCAGTCCTATCGGATAGTAGACGAGTATAAACCATGCATGAATGTTATTTCCACCTTTCCAGAGAATGGGCGTCCCAGGTAAGACCAACGCCCATTCTGATTCCTTCAGCAAGCCAGTTTGGTCTAATTGCTAAGGTTCCAGGTTAGAAATGAGGAGAGTGTAAGTTCTAGTCCTGCCTTAGGCAAACAAATGTAGCTGGATGTCTTTGGGCCAGTGATTCCGTCTCAACTCACAACACCAGACAACAACCAATTCCTATTGCAGCCAATGGGTCAGCATTTGGTTGGTCCGAAAAAGTGGATCCTGTACCTGCAGGAAAAATGCTTGGAAGCAAAAAAAAAATGACTGATCCCTTTATTAGCAGTACTAAAGTATATTTAAATCCATTTGACTTCCAGTGAGATGGTGATGTATGGACTACACGCATGTGAGCTCCAAATGATAATTTTAAATTTTATTCCATAAATATTGAGTAGGGTTTTTTAAATTGAAGCACACAGCATCAGTATCAGCTGTGATTTGACATGACAAGCTAAGCTTACTGCAGCACACCAGTAACAAAAAATGTAAACTAATGGTGGAACTCCAAGTATCTTATCTCACAAAACTCATTTCACTTCTCCCAACTGCAATACAGGCAGCCAGTCAGTAAAGCTGAGAGTACTTACTGCAGAAGGACGGAAGTATGATTACAAACATGAGTAGAAAGGCTGTTGTTATTATTTAAATACTTTAAATGGCCCTCACAAGAGATGGTTATTGTTGGATTAGAGACTGGCATAATATAAGATTATAAAGAGGGAGAAAGCCAAACCAAGATTACTCCCCACCCACCCCACCCTCCAACAAGACTCTCACTTGACTCTTCTTTAGACAATGACTCAGTTACCCCAAATGAAGGCCCTATGGTCATCTCATGACTGGTCATTAAGGCCTTACTGTATGTTTACAAGAGAGCCAATTAAAACTGGAGTAAATCCAGCCAAAGAATTTGCCTTATGATTCAACAGTCTTTTATATTGACAACACTCCCATAAAGAGGAACTGACCTATGCTGGGATGTGAAGAGACTGCACTCTGCCATCCCACTCACCCCCAAAGCTTCATCCTGCATCCCTGCCAACCCAAGCTGACTTTTGCCATTGGAGTGGCAGGGACAGGGAAGTGCAAGGCAGCAGGGGTGGCAGAGTGCAGGATGGGTAAAAGGGCAAAAATGTGGGGGGAGATAGGTGGAAAGAGTAAAGCAGAGTTGAGTGCTACAGTGAAGAAAAGTGTGAAATCTTTTAATGACACTGCAGTTCTGGACTAATGACCGCTATGGGACTACCGAAACTGCAACACTAAGCAGTGCAGTTACGTGATGTTTCCCATAATGAATGTATTATGGGAAACATCACTTAGCAACAGAAATTACAATTCTAATTAGGTTCTTTAGGTAAGGACTACTTGTAAAGTGATTATCTTTTTTGGGAGGGAGGGGGGTAATGTTTCACCGGTATAGGTGGGAGATATTTATTCCTGACTAACCAGTTCTGTTTTGTGACATTCGTTGTGATTCTGCTATTTGTGTGTTTAATTTCTAAGATATTATTGTATATATTATTTCATAGATAATTTTCATGAATACAGAATGTATCAGTGTAATAATACTAGATCATTAGTTGAAAGAGTGAGTAAATGAGTAGAGCCTCACTAACTGATACTTAGTGAAATATCCTGTATTTGGAACCTCAAGGTATAATCTTTGATAACTATTTAAAGTTTTGGAATTGGGTTATTTGGCAAAAAGATATTGAACATTTGTTTATGACAAACATAAATCTTAATTTAATACATATTTCCAGGTGGATTTAATTGATTGGGTTGACAATATGTGGCCAAGGCATCTGAAGGAAAGCCAGACAGAATCAACAAATGCTATTTTGGATATGCAGTATCCAAAAGTGCAAAAGTAAGTAAAACTTTGTATATAGATCTTTCTTTTCATCGATGTGAGTTTTAAGAAAGATGTTTCTATACTGCTACCTGTCCTTCTATGTTTGTATTGTATCGTCAAAGGTCTGTATTGTTTGTATTGATTGTCAAAGGTCAGCAGTCTGGGCTAGACAAGCTAACATCATTCCTACCTAAGTCCTCCAACAATGCTAATTGGATGGATAACATCTGTTAACATTGTAATGTTGAATGGCAAAATAGATTTGTTTTAAACAGCAGAAATTACGGCAGGAAGAACTTCCTACTTAGTAATAAGAATAGATTCCTATTACTGGCTTTCTGATACAAACAAAACAAAACAATCAGGTACTAATCTTATTGTCCCCTTTTCTTTCACCAGTAGAGAGTATTCTTAATATATAGATTCTGGTAATTAATATTATTATTCAATGTGGCATACTACATTGTGGCATACTAAATACTAACATTAAGCATTTATTCCATCTACAGAGTGTTACAATTTATTCAATGAAGTTTATGTTTTCATCATTTCTGGTTTTATTTCAGATATTGCCTGATGAGTGTTAAAGGATGCTACACAGATTTCCATGTAGATTTTGGTGGCACATCAGTATGGTATCACATCCACAGAGGGGGGAAGGTACCGTGGCATTTCCAACAACATACTTTTTGTGCGAAGTTTTGAGTAAAGTGGTTGCAACTGCAAATGATCACTGTGTGCAGCAGTTACTAAATGAGAGCTACCTGCAGATATTCATTTCACTTGAGGAGTCACTTGCAACACATTTGGATACCTCACTCTAGAATCAAACTTATTGGGCTGTTTTAACAGGATTCCTCAGTGTCACTATTAACTTACACTATGTAACTATTATATATATTTTATATTATACAGTATGTAATTAATAGCACATGAGAGCTAATTTTAACAATGATGAATAGTTAATGAAATAAATGTGTTTTATTAATTATATGCCTAAGCCAGCTGATTTGTAATAATTTATATTAAAAATAGGATATATGGAGTAAATTGTTTTTTTTAAGTAGATTGAAAAGACCAATCTACAACAGGGGTGTCAAACACACTTCCTCACGTGATATATTGCAGTCCCCCCCCCCCTTCATTAAACCAGGCATGGGCATGGCCAGCACATGACACATCCGGCCCACAGGTCGCAAGTTTGATGCCTCTGATCTACAAAGCCAGTGAATCTACTTAATTCTTTTTAAATAGTTACCATTTTTTCTAAAGAATTTGCTTTCAGGTATAAATGTTCAAAATCAGAAAAATAACACTTTACACATCTGCTCATGCTATTAACTGCAGCATCATTTTATTACCCATTTGGGACAGAGACGTTACTATAATTTTTACCTAGTCTTATTTAAAAAGCAGAAATTTCTTGGGGGGGTTAGTCTCATTTGAGGACTTTTATATGCCAAGTTCTTCAATCATTTAATATTCTATTTTTAAGAAAAGTAAAAAAATTGAGATACCTGTTTTATCCTACTGCAAAACTTTCCTTTCATTGTCTTGTTTTAAGTCATTTGCTTTGTTAATTGTACAGTCATTATTCATTAAGTGACTACCTCAATTAGTGACCATTCAGGACTACAATAATAAATGGTGGGGAGGAGGAGCCAACGTTGCGACGATATGGACATGCGGTCTCGATGCTCCGAGACCGCAGCTGATACTTTTGCCGTTGGGTGGTCCAATTGGACCTAAACCGTCCTGCAGAGATGGTGAACAGGAAGAATGCGTCTTGCTGATCTCAGGGACATTGCAAAGTCCCTGATCGATCCAAGAGAAGTTCTTCAAGCCGGCGACAAAAAATCCAGTCATTAGGCTGATGAAGTCGGGGCGGCTCCAAAATGGAAGGATACGGAAAGAGAAAGTGTTTCCAGCTGGTGGGGAATTTTTACCGTTTTAAAAGAGAGTGCCTATAAAAAAGTTAATTTAAATTTGAGAACAGAAGAAATAAGTGGTGGAATTAAGTTTGGAATGGTTTTGGACAGTGGGT